GTAATTTTGGCCACCACTTACTGTTACCTGGAAGAGAAATGTGTCAGAAATATAGCATGCCACCAAACAAACTTACCGTCTTCCTTTCCTTTTCTATCCTGTACACACACCATCCACCAGAAACTCCTATTCACCCTCTAAAACCCAACAGACATGCTTCTTTTTATAGCCTTTCTTTTGCAATGATTTCAGACAGTTACTCACCCTATTTTCTGTGTTTCTCTCATTCTTCCACTGAGGTGTTAGCACTCTATGTTGCACTGTCTATGTTTGCCTGGGCTTCCCTCTGGCCAGGAACTGTTTCATGAATCGTGAGTCTGGGTCTTGCACAGAGCATCATAGGCTAATTGGTCACTAAGTGTTTATTGAGTGCATTCGTTTTAGCTCTGCTAAATTTTACTGCCATTTACTCCTGTTGACTCAGTAGCTCAGATTTGGGGTGGTAAAGGTAAAGAATAAAACTCTTTTTTTCCTATTTTTATAGAGTGAGGATGGAAGAGAGGGGGTGGCGGAGAGAAAGAGAGAGAGAGAGAGAGAGAGAGAGAGAGAGAGAGAGAGAGAGAGAGAGAGACCCATGTGAGACTCAATTGGTTGCCTCCTGCATGGGCCCCAATGGGGTCGGGGATTAAACCTGCAACCCAGATACATGCCCTTGATGGAGGAGAATCGAACCTAAGACCCTCCAGTGTGCAGATCAATGCTCTAACTGCTGAGGCAAACCTTGAATGTTCCTAAAGAGGAGGAATAGTACATAGGATTAAAATGAGAATATTTTTATTCAGCTTATAAGCAAATGGAACATTGCCTCACTTCAAACATAGGACATTAAATCTTTTTGCTTCTCCAATGATAGGAGGTTTAAACATACACTCTGTGGATGTGGTTATGGAGGAAAAGTAAACTTTTTAGGTCTTAATTTTTCAAATTTAAAATGCACACACTTTTTGAACCAGTTATTCAATTCCTCTGAAATTATCCTCCCTTATAAGAATAGGGAGGTTGATAATGACAAAAATGTGATATAGAATGAAGCATCATTCATGAGAGCAAAATATGGAAACTACCTTAATGTGCATGAATAAGGGTCAAGTTAAATTTTTCTGAAAATGCTTCTATTGGAATATTATGCAAACATTAAATGATGTGGGGGCATCACAAATAGCATGATGTTAGTTTCTCTAACATACATTCTTTGACAACAAATAAAATCTAGTCATCAATGTGTGATTTCTAGAGAAACTTATAAGATCATTTGTTTAAAAATAAAAGCAGAGATAAATGATAGATAAATAGATAGATAGATACATACATAGACTTGAACAAGCATATAGTATCTCTGGAAGGAGCATAAAGGAATTAGTAAGTGTTGCTCTGGAGAGAGGGACTGGGTTTGGGATGTAGGAAAGACTTAATTTTAGACTGATTATAATTATTTATATGCATATTTTAACAATCTCCTACATGAAAACTGAAGGAATGACAGCATAGTAGAAATGAGGCTGTGAGTGAAGACAGAACTTCTCCACCCTGGAGAATAAGGCATGTGGGCTGATCTTGACCTGCTCAGATTTGGAAAAGGACCTGAGCATGGCAGTACAAGCAGAGGGCGCTGTGTGATGAGAGGGGCAGGAGATGAGGCACTAGTGACTCTGGGGGCCAGGCCAGGGAGAGCTGTGTGCTCCTGTGAGAGCCCTGAGAGCCCATGTAGTGGATGTTCCTGAGCACACTCACCTGGTACTGGTCTGACAGCACAGAGATGTCCAGTTCAAAGGGTTGGCCATCCCTAAAGGGCTTATCAGTGGATCTCACTTCTTCTTCCCAGGACCCATTCTTACGGCTGTTCATCACCAGCTCTTTGCCAAAGTACACTCGGAGACTGAAGGCGATGTCTGAGTCCTCATTAGTTCCAGTGTGGAAATCCACCTGCAGCTCTGGGCTCATACTGGAGGCAAAGCAAACAGCCTGTTGAGCAGGACTTTTCCTCATGGGGGCCCACACTTGACACACACACGTACACACCCTCCCAACTCCTCCTGTTGGAAGGAAGGCCTTCCTGGGTGAGACTGCAGTATGTGTTCCTGTGGGGCTGCTTCAGCTCGTCCTGCCCAGGCTGAGGAGATGCCTCATCTCTTAGCCCAGGACTCACACTGAGCAGCAGTCACTGGCCTGGGGCTACTTTTCATGCCCTGAAAATACTGTGTTTATTGATAATAAACCTCAGCTCCAATGCCTGAGTGACCCCAGCCCCCAGACTTCAACACTTGCCCACAGACATGCACCAGTAGGTTTAATGCCTGGCACCACATGGGTCTCCAGAACCTGCATCTGCATTGTGCTACCATTATGCTAATTACAAACATCAACCTCAGTCATGCATGAAGTGACCCCCAAAGCTCTAATAATCTCCTTTCTCTTCCCGATGGGCTATAGATACTCACCAGAAAGGCATGATAGGTGTCCCGTTGATTTTTACTGAAGAACCAACAGAAAAGAATACATTTTTTTTGTATAGGACCTGCCATGGGAGACAAGAGTAGTTGAGAGGAGCAAGACCAGGTGTGGTCTCCCATCCTATAACAGTTCCCAGTGGCAAAGCAAGTTATACATCAAAGGACATACTCTGACGACCCTCTTCTTCCCACCTCACCACAGGCAGGTCCCTGTGTCTTTGAAGAAATGAGAAGGTTGAAGTTCACAGCAAGAGTTCTAAAGCCAGGTGGACTGGATTCTATTCTAATGCTGATTCTGCTCTTATGACCAATGAGAACTGAGTTCCATCACTTGAATGCTCCCTGCCTCCGTTTTCTCAGTACAAGAAGGATTATAAAATTCCTATTTCCTAGGATGTTCTCAGGAATAACTGAGCTAATAGATGTAAAACCTTTGGCATGGTCCCTGGCAAGTACAGGGTCTATACAGGAGTGACTTATCGGAAGGGGAGGGCCCTTTCTCAGATACTACCCTCCCATCGGTTTTTATCTGAAACTGTGAAGATAAGGCTTTAGAATATAAACGTATAAAATATAAAACTTCACTCCAATATAAGATAGTTGTTTAAAGGGGAGGGAAATAATGGAAAAGGAGACTCCTGTGTGTGGCATGTATATGCATCAGAATTTTCAGGGGCAATGGTGTCCTTTCAGGAATGTGCACAAGTTGCTGAGGACAGTCAGTACCTGCACACAGAGCGGGAGACAGGAAAGTAATTAGATAGAATCTACAGGTTGTTCCCTGATATCGACTGTAAGCTTTGTCTGGACTGAGGCTTATTTTGTTCCTTCCATCTTCAGGTGATCCATTCTCTGAAACCAATTCTCCCAACCACCTTCCCCAGAGAGACAGGATCTGCTTAACCTTTTGTTGTTGTTGTTGTTAGGACAAAGGAAGGACTGGCAGGAGGAGGAGACCTGAGGCAGGAGCAGGGGTCACTATGTGCTGACCTAGACAGGAGGTCTTATGCCCAACAGTTTGAGTTCATCTTCATCCCGCTTTCTTGAGAAGAGCCATCTGAGGACTGACTCATTCTGCTCTCATTAACCCTCAGGAAGGAGTCCTGAGAAAGCCACTCTCCCCAAGACCTCCAGTTCTGCTAACCAGGAGCCACAGTGATACACAGGAACAGAACCACAGCTACTTAAACAGTCACTACCATGTATGGGAGAACCCTCACAAGCAGACACAGCTGCACGCATATTCATAGTTCAACATGCAATCATAGTTCATCATACACACACAGTTATGCAAAACATGGAACTCACCGTCTCACACATACCTCCCAACACTACTACTCATGATGACATGCACAGCTGTTCAACCACTGCCCCAGCTTCACTCACACACACATATTCAGAGGCATGAAGACAAATGTGTAATCTCACCCCTTGCATCCATGCACACACTCCCTCATCCCAGTCAGCTCTTCACTTCCCACACAAAGTCACAGCGTCTCAATAGAGTTCACCCTCAGTCAGATACCACCAAATGCTGCCAGTAGATATCCTGCCCCATCCTCTCTCTTCCATATCTTCACAACCCCCAGTAAAACATTTCCAATGTTTTCATTTCAGAGAATCTCCGACTCTTTCATCCTTCTCTTATGGGACCTGTCATCATTGAAGGCTGTGCCTTTTCCACTCACCGGTAGCGTTTCCATTGTTGTGCCTTCTGCTGGGAAGCTCTTCCAAACTGTGTCTGGTTGTGTGTGTGATCTCTGCAAGTGGCAGGTTATAAATGATTTCTGGAAGCCCCGCCCTCTGGCTTCCTTTGAGTTTCTAAGTCTCTTCTAGAAAGATTCCCAGCAGGTGAGAAGGTGTGGGATATCATAAATAGAATGAATCACAACTATGTCCTTGAAAAGGTTGTGTTGTGATGCAATAGAAACTTCAGTGAGGAAATTGTGGGTGAGGAAGGATTAGCAGGAAAAATGCATAAATAAGTGTGATGGAATGGGTGGGTGAGTGGGTCAATAATCCAGCCTATGTGCCTCTCACCAAGTATTTATCCCTCAGAGCAGAGCCCACCCAAAGGTACACATTTTTCTGACTTGAACAATGGCAAAGAATTGGTGGTGCTGGAGGTAAGGACTCCCTTCCAGAGGTCCTGAGAAATCATAGAAATTGATCCTCAGCAACCCTGGAGATAGAAAGTCTTTGTGCCATTTCCTTTCCACAGTAGGTCCCTTGGCTCTGCTAATGCCTACAGTGTTTTAGCCTTTGGGTTTCACCCTCTTGGTCAACTTCCAACATACATCAATCAAGATTGGACCTTTAAGATGAAAAATTCTTTGTAATAATAACACTTGAATAAGTATGATTTAATCATGATGACCTATTCAATAAATTATAGCACACCCCAATTAATGACATATCTTAGAGTCATTTGAAAAAGTTAAATAAAACAATAAAAAACAAGTTGAATCAGAAAGTTTTTCAACATTAAGATTTCCAAGTGGAATGTAATGAACAAAATAAACTGATGAACAAAATAGAAACAAAGGCATGGATACATGGAACAGACTAACATTTACTGGAAGGAGTAGATGAAAGAAGGTGAAGGGATTAACCAAAGAACATCTATGCATAACCCTTAGACACAGACAACAGTGTGGTGATGGCGAGAGGAATGGGGGGTCAGGGGTTGGGTTCAGGTGGGAAAGGGGGGAGGGAGCAAATGGGGACATCTGTTTCAACATATGTCAACAATAAAAGTAAAGTTAAAAAATTTTTTTAATTAAAAGATTGCTTCTTGCCACAGGGAACTCATGGAATACTGCCACCATGGGAGCAAGCCCAAGGCAGCCTGCTGGAGAGCCAGGTGGAGAACTAAGGCTCCTTGGTCAACAGTCAGTCATGTGAGTGAGGCCATCAGGACTGTGCAACCCTAAAGAAGTCACCAGCTTACTGTACCCGCATGAGAGAGCAGACAAAACCTACAGAAGAACCATTCAGCTGATTCCAGCCCAAAATGTCAACCCATAAAATCATGATCTCAAAGATTGATTACTGTTTCTAGCAACTAGACAACAGCAATAAATAAGTTAAGTAATTTGGAAATATTTACAGATGAATTTACTGATGTTTAGGGATTTGCTTCAAAAGAAGCCAGGGGTGCTCTAGCCCAGTGGCTCAGTTGGTCAAAGCATTGTCCTATACACTGAAAAGAAAAAAAAAGTTGCGGATTTGGTTTGATTCCTAGTCCGAGTACATACCTGTGGTTTGGGTTTGATCACCATTCAGGGTACATATGAGAAGTAACCAATCTCTCTCTCTCTCTCTCTCTCTCTCTCTCTCTCTCTCTCTCTATCTCTCTCTCCCTCTCCCTCTCTTTCTGTCTCATCTTTCTCCTTGTCTCTCTATCTCTTTTCATCTCTCTCTGAAAAACCAATACACAAGCCCTAACCGGTTTGGCTCAGAAGATAGAGCATCTGCCTGTGGACTGGAGAGTACCAGGTTCAATTCTGATCAAGGGCATGTACCATGGTTGCAGGCACATCCCCAGTAGGGAGTGTTCAGGAGGCAGCTGATCCATGTTTCTCTCTCATCGATGTTTCTGGCTCTATATCCCTCTACCATACTCTCTGTAAAAAAAAAAAATGAAATAAAATACATTTAAAAAACGCCCACCAATACACATATCCTTGGCTGAGAATGAAAAAAAAAAAAAAAGCCAGGGGTGAGATGAGTAGAGGTATGGATAAACAAGATGGGTGAGAGCTGTTAAAACTGATGAGTACTTAAGGGCTTATTGTACTATAGTCTCTACATTTGCTTATGTTTGAAATGGAAATTTCCAATAAAAAAAATTAAAGGAAAAGAAGGGAAGGAAAGAAGATAGAGAAAAAGGAAGGAAAGAAGGAAAATGACTCTTCTATTAAAGAAAGACAGTGAGTTCTGTAATGAGGCACAGCCATGTCATAGACAAATTCATTATTGAACAGACTGTTGACTCCTGGGCCAGGCCCTTCCCTCCCCCAACATGGTCAGAGACAGTCAAGTCCCACAGGAGAAGCAGTCCAGGTGGGAATATTTTCTTTTATTTCTTGAGAAAATCCTCATGGCAGGTAGGTCTAAGGCATTAGTAATGGTGAGACCTTTGATGAAAAATCATCTTTATCTGTTGGGATGTATTTTTGACATAGTTTGTGGGAAGAAACATTTGAAAGAATGGGACAGAATAGTAAGAAGCTAGGAAAATTCTTTGGCAAGTGGAATGGGGAAAGTGAGGCAGACAGCAAACAAACTACCCAAGCAATTTGCACCAGTTACAGAAGGTCGCCTCCCTAGAGATAATATCTAGGCCTCTGTTGTATTTGAGCTCCAGGCTCAGAAAAGCAGCAAAACCTTGTGGGCCACACAGGGACCAGCTGTCGTGACTTGTGCCAACCAATCAGTGGAGACCATGACCCTGAAAGGAAACACATGGAAAACTCAAGAATATTCTATGGAGATCTCCCCTAAGACCTCCCCTAAACCCCCAGCCTGAGCCCTCTCCTTCCTGGGAGCTAGTCCATGCCTTACCCTCTCCTCTCTCCTTCCCCCAGAGTGTGCATCACTGAAACTGCAGGGGACCCCCTGCAGCTGTCTCCAGCCCCCCTTTTTCTGATTTTCCAGTGAGGTAACGGCAGGCCCACCTTGGCCCAGGTCTTCCTGATAACGTTTCTAGTGACCACAAGCAGCCGGGCCTGAGCTCTCCTGTTGCTTCTTCTATTCTAAGCCCTTCCTTTATTTCACTGACCACAACTTTACTAAACAGTCTCACAATCACCTTGTGTTGGGAAACCTTTCCTGCATGCAATCAAGTACCCACCGTTACTTGAGGCCCTAGGTTTATCCCCTCCAGTTCAGGTCACCATTCAGTGAGAAAAGCTTCCACGTGGGACTGGAAAGCCTGCGGAAGCAAGTTCTCCCCTTGAGGTTGGATTGTTTTCAGATCCAGCACAGCCACAGGAACTGGCTGCTAGTGCTCGTTCAACGTGCTACCTTCCAGAATGTTCCTTGCATCAGACTTCCCGTTGGGCCGTGATGTGGTAGGACCC